TTATATTCCAGCTGATGGCATTTCTCCCTGCAAGGAAGATGACAACCTTAATACCTGTATTCGTGATGTTATGCAGGCCATGGTACAACGCAGCAAAGATGGTGTCCCTGAACTCAATATACGACCCATTGATCCGCTGATACAAGAAAAATCCAATTTACAATTTGAAAATAATTTCGTTTCGGGTAAAATGGCATTGCGTAATGTGAAAATTGTTGGATTGTCCAATACAATGGTGGATAAGACTGAATTTGAAAGGACGGGAGATAAAGTAAAATTTACCACACACACAAGGACACCGAAATTGCAGGTGGATGGTTCGTATAAGGCTGAGGTGTTTATCAATAATAATAAAATGTCATCCAAGGGGATTTTCAATGTGACCATAAGTGAGTAGAGGAGGAAAGGGGAAGAGAGGGTGAGATTTGATTTTCAAAATAATAAATTTTATTTTTTTTTCGATAGCTGACATTTCTGCCAAAACCGAAACAGAAGCTGAACTCTATGAGCGTGATGGCCACAGCTATTTGCGTATTACCAAATTCAACATTGATCCCACATTGGGGGATATGCATGTCTATGCCACGGGTTTGGTGCCCGATAAGGCATTGAGTAAGTACCAATTCCCTTCGGAGATTTTTAATTTGGAATAAAATTTTCTGTCTGTTTTGTTTAGATGATGCTTTACTGGATTTGGCCAATCAAAATTGGCGCCAAGTCTACAAATCTGTTGTGCCAGAAACCCGCTCCACCTGGGAACCAATTTTCCTTAAAAATGCCAACGAATTCTTTGCCCATTTACCTTTCGATTTGTTGTTGGTCAACAAACAGTGATTTTTTGAAGAGGATGTGGGGGGAATAGATCTATCGGACGCTTAATTAATGGTTTAGGATGCGATGAGTTAAAATGATGATTTTTGAAACTGTATTTTTTCCTATTAAAAGAAATAAATTATTAATAATTGCATAAAAAATTTTTGTAGTAGAATTTGTAATATAAAAAAGGGGAGGAGTAAAATATCAGTTCTATTATAGAATATTTTACAAGGACTATTATAGGCGTGTACTTTTTAAAGAAATTTTTTTCAGGGGCTACCATAGGCGTGGATTTCTTAAAGAATTTTTTTTTAAGGGGCTACCATAGGCGTGGATTTCTTAAAGAATATTTTTTCGAGGGCTATGGTAGGCGTGGATTTTCTAAAGAATATTTTTTCGAGGGCTATGGTAGGCGTGGATTTTCTAAAGAATATTTTTTCGAGGGCTATGGTAGGCGTGGATTTTTTAAAGAATATTTTTTTCGAGGGATCCAATGAGGCGTGGATTTTTTAAAGAATATTTTTTTTCGAGGGCTATGGTAGGCGTGGATTTTCTAAATAATTTTTTTTCGAGGGCTGTGGTAGGCGTGGATTTTCTAAAGAATATTTTCCGAGGGTTATGGTAGGCGTGGATTTTCTAAAGAATATTTTTTCGAGGGCTGTGGTAGGCGTGGATTTTCTAAGGAATATTTTTTCGAGGGCTGTGGTAGGCGTGGATTTTCTAAAGAATATTTTTTCGAGGGCTATGGTAGGCGTGGATTTTCTAAAAAATATTTTTTCGAGGTCTATTATAGGCGCGGATTTTTAAAGCATATTTTTTCGAAGGTTTTTAAAGAATATTTTTTCGAGGGCTTTTATAGACGTGGAGAGTCGCGTACCTTCCCTGTATAACGCTTTATAGGTCATATAAGTAAATTTTTGTACCAGATTTTGGAAACGTGTGTCCGGTTACTGCTGCTATTTATAGGTGCTCCGGAAATTGATCACTCTGATGATATCAAATGTGTTGACTTAAAATTGGGAATATCCGGCGAACTACAGTAAGGATCGAATTTTGGGAAAACTAATGATCTGAATATCCGCGAAAAGTAAAATCGGGCTTTAAGATTAACCTTTGTTCTATCTATTTTCCAGACATTGTGAACTATTAGGACGGCTAAATACAAATTGAGGACCTTGGTTAAGAGCTTTACTCGGTTCACTTCGAAAGTTAATTTTGGTCGTTCCTCCTAGGCCGGAATATATCGTATATGACGCAGCACTCTTCCTTTCACCCTATTGCACACGGTATCTTATATAAATTGTCGATTAAATAACCTGTGCACCATATGTTTAATTTACATCTACGTATAGGCCTTAAAAATCCGCGCCTTATATTAGGCTTTGAAAAAAATATATTTTTAAACCAGTGAGCGGTGTAGTATAGTCGGACGGGGCCGACCATACGATACCCTACACAACTATCACGGAACCCTAAATTTCTAACTTTCTTCTGCGGAAGTTTATTCCCAGCATGGGCACTATTTTTGTGACAGTTGCACACTCTTGGCGGATTAGAAGTCGAATATTACTAATTTTCAGTACAGTCCTTCTAATTAATTGTCCATATTTCCTTCACCGAGGGTTGTAATGTGATGTTCGGCTTATAATTGTGGCCCTCTGTAAAAAAAAAAAAAAAAAACACTCACACACACACAAAAATAGGTTTTCGGTCTACTTCATCCTAAAATTATTATCTGATCATCACCGAAAATTATAGGCGTTGTCCTTGACCATAAATGGAACCTCATGGAACATTTCAAAGAGATCAACGCTATATTTCCGTGTGGTAATGGGTTACTAATTAATATCTGAACACGAAGGCACATGTAAATATTTACGTGTAACTCCCACATCAGAGTACATACGGCAATATAATTATCAATTTAAAGGCCGACCACTCCTCTTTGATATACTATCAACTTCTAGGGTCTATGTCCTTCAGGGGCAAATATATATGCCATAGAAAACATATTTAGTATTTTTTCACACAAAAGTCAGGGTCCATTTGGCCCGCTAAATATTGACCGGTCATTATCGAAACAGGCATGCTTATTCTTTGGCCTGATTCCCTTCTCCATGTAAAAATTCGCGAAGTTTGATACCCTTCACCACTATAGGTATATGAAACAGGACTACTATCATGAAGTTGTATGAAATAAACTATGTGATTTTTATCTAAATGTGAAACGACCTAGATCTATCCATAAACATGTCATTCGGTTGTTGCAGTGGGACAAAAGTATGTAAATCGACTTCAAACAAATGTCAATTATCCATTGGGCTATGTCTGTACTTCTAAAAAACGCAACTACGTTATTCTATGCTCAATTTTGTGCGTTGTGCAAAATTTGATGTCAATCTGACAAACATGAGGAGTTTGATGCACAATTTACTTAAAATCGTACGAAAATATAAGCTATATCCAAATATGAACCCATTTCAACGAAACTTGTCACAGGTTTGGTTATGCTAATTTCACTACGTTTTGTTCCTATAAGCCATATATTGGTTCCTTAGTGCCACAATTAATTAAAATCAATCTATAATATAAGGGAATTATATCTAAATCTCAACCGATTTTCACGAAACTTGGCACACATCATTCTGGATTAAATTCAGTACGCTAAGCTACATAAGAACTTTGGTACATTATTTACATTAAATCGGACGAAAATATTAAAGAATATTTTTCAAGGGCCAACAGAGGCGTGGATTTATTAAAGATACAATATAATGCCATCATTTTTAAAAAATGCTGGCATTATATGTATGTGGTTTCGACAGATATTGATTTCAATAAAAAAATGTACTTATTGCAAAGCTATTAACTCTAATGTTATTAGATATTCAATCTGTTTATTTCTCTATTCATCAGTTCAATCATCCCCGTGGACAGTTAAACAAACAATTTAAGAATATTTAATACTAATGAGTAATGATAAACAAAAAAATCAGTGAGCGGAGCAGTATAGTAGAACGGGTTCGCCCACATGATACCCTACACATCTTCGACTGGGGAGGACCTTTTTTATCGGGACTACGAAAAAAAACATGGATCTACATTAATAATTTGCTTCGTAGATATACGTGAACCTCCAAAAAACTTAAAATATCAAATCGGTTGGAGAATTCGCCTACAACCCTTAAAATATCGAAAATTGTTCGGGACATTTATATGGGAGCTATGTCAAAACATGAACCAGATGATTTGATAATATTTGGTGTACATCTATATAACATAACAAAATTAATTATTTTGAAAAAATTACAAACGAAATGACAAACATAAATTATCCGCCACTACCCTAGCCGATGATAGCAAATATGGCATTAAATCATGGCGACGACTTTTTTTGTCATCAAAATGCATGTGGCTGTCTGATTGCCAGTCAGTCAATGAGTGAGCAAGTCAATATGGGTAAGTTTCTAATGAATAAAACAACATGCATAGAAAAAAGCATAACACTGGCCTACAGAAATTGGTATGTTAAAACGGGACTTACATAAAATAAATAAAATTTAAAAATTATTAAACAAAAATTTTTTTAAAAATTTAAAATATATATTTTCTAAGATTACTGATTTAAAATTAAATAACTAACATTAGTTAATTTAAATTTTTTTATTTTTTTTAATTCTGAAAATGTTTTTTTTTTATTTAAGGATTTTTTTTTTAATTTTAGGGAATATTAAAAAATTCCTAAAAAAACTTTTTCTATACAAAAATAAAAAAAATTAGAAAAATCTCAAAGAAAAAAATATTAAAAGTATCATTAATTGTTCGATACATATTTAGCCAAAAATTAACCCCATAATTACCTGACTTTAGAATGCCTTAAATTGTAAATTTTGTAGACCACTCTAATTAATTGCATTTTTATATCTACAAAAAAGTAGAAACCCAAACACTTGCTTACACACTTGTTCTGCATTCAAGGTTATATTAACTTGAAATTAGATTTGTTAGGATTCAGTTAATTTTTTTGTTCAATTCTATTAATTTTCTCTCTTTCAACGGCGAGCGCAGTGTTAGAACTAAACAAGACGCGCTTGAAGTCAGATACAATCGGCGCATTAACACTTTTAGATAATTAAATAAAAAAATAATAAAAATCAGAAACAAGAAAATAAAAAAATCTCAACATGTTAAGAACACATAAAATTGTTGTATTATTTTTATGTTTTAATGGCTATTGGCTGCGAATTGCCGGACAAGGTGTTGAAACATTAGATTCACCGGCTATACATCAATTGATAACAGAATTACGTGAGTTATTTTGAAAATGTTAAACAACGAAAGTAATATTTTATAAAAATTATGAGAGGAACTTAAAAATCTGTAATAACCAATAGAAAAAAAAAGAGCTTGTGTCCTAAGTCTTTCGTTTTTTAATTTTCATGTTTATGAGAATTTTATGAAATTTATAATTGAAAAAGTGAAAATAATTTCAGCAAATTTGTGACTTTTTAACGACCTTGAGGGTAGCAAATAAATTCAATGAAATGTTGTTTGTTTCCAAAAATTGGGTCAGGGTCAAGTGCTATTTTATTTACCTTGAAAATCGATACTCCGCGATAATTGCGACATTGCTGAATGTCACACATTGGTGATCATGAACATCATGAACAATTTTGGAGCGACATACAATACATATAACTGGAATGAGAATAAAAAAAAATAATTTATATAGTAAACAAATTTGAAATAAACAATAAATAATAATATTTAAGAAAGTATTCTTTAAAAAAATCACGCCATTTGGTCATTGATAAAATATTCAGTAAAAATGAATGGAGACGTGGAAAAAACTATACTTTAAAAAATACACGCCTATTTCCGTGGCCTATATAAGGGCCTCCGTGGTCTATATAAAGCGTGGATTTTTTAAATACTTTTTTTCGTGACCTATATAACAAATTCACAGCTGTTGTTCTGCTTAAAAAATATTCTTTAAACAAGTCCACGCCTGTTGTTCTGTTTAAAAAAAATATTTTTTTAAAAATCCACTCCTTTTGTTCTGCTTAAAAAAATATTCTTTAAACCTGTAAGGAAAGTAATAAAGTCGGACAGGCCCGACTATATGATAACCTTCACCACTTTGGGTATATTCAACAGATGACTCCTAACAGACTTCGCATTTTTAAAGGACCAGTAAAATGAAATTGGATCCATAAACATGACATTCTGCAACCGATACAAAATTTTTCATTTGGTCAGATATAGAAGCTATATCTAAATCTGAACCGATATCAGGAAACTTAAAACAAATCATTCTAGACCTAATTCACTACGCTGTGCCAAAATTCGTGCACACCGAAAGATATTAAGGGACTTTGGTGCACCATTTATCTTAACTCGGACGAAAATATATATGGGAGCTATATCTAAATCTGAACAGATTTTCACAAACGTGGCAGACATTACTCCAGGTACAATTCTGTATGCTATGCCAAATTTCGTGCAAATCGATAGATATATAGGGTCTTTGGTGCACCATTTACATAAAAATCGGACGAAACTATATATGGGAGCTATATCTAAATCTGGACCGAATTTAACGAAACTTGACAACCATCACTCCGGGCTCAATTTAGTTCGTTATGCCAAATTTCGTGCAAATCGAAATATATATAGGGGCTTTGGTGCACCATTTACATAAAATCGGACGAAAAAATATATAGAAGCTATATTCAAATCTGAACCGATTTTCACGAAACTTGGCAGACATCACTCCAAGTTCAATTCAGTATGCTATGCCACATTTCATGTAAATCGAAAGATATATAGGGTCTTTGGTGCACCATTTACATAAAAATCGGACAAAACTATATATGTGAGCTATATCTAAATCTGGACCGAATTTAACCAAACTTGACAACCATCACTCCGGGCTCAATTTAGTTCGTCATGCCAAATTTCTGGCAAATCGAAAGATATATAGGGACATTGGTGCACCATTTACATAAAAATCGAACGAAACTATATATGGGAGCTATATCTAAATCTGAACCGATTTTCACGAAACTTGACAAACATCACTCCAGGCTCAATTCAGTACGTTATGCCAAATTTCGTGTAAATCGAAAGATATATAGGGTCTTTGGTGCACCATTTACGTAAAAATCGGACGAAACTATATAGGGGAGCTATATCTAAATCTGAACAGATTTTCACGAAACTTGACAGGCGTTATTCTAGGCTTAATTTAGTTCATTATGCCAAATTTCGTGCAAATCGAAAGATATATAAGGTGTTGGGTGCACCATTCGGACGAAAATATATATGGGAGCTATATCTAAATCTGAACCGATTTTTCCCAATTTCATTAGGGTTCGTCCTTGGACCAAATAAATGAGCTGTGACAAATTTCATCCAATTCGGATTATAAATGCGACCTGTACTTTGTTTACAATTTAGCATCGATAGACAGACAGACGGACAGACATGCATACATCGACTCAGAAAGTGATTCTATGCATATTCTCAAAAGGAATCATGTGTCTATCTCGTTTCCTTTTACATATTGCAAACATATGCATAAAGACATAATACCCTGTACCACAGTGTGAAGGGTATAAAAATATTTTAAAAAATATTCTATAAAAAACCGCACCGTTTGGTCCCTAATAAAATATTTAGTAGAAATGCATTAAGACATTGAAACAAATATTCCTTAAAAAAAAACTCCACGCCTAATGGTCACTGAAAAAATTATTCTTTAAAAAATCCGCCCAATTTGTCTATGAAAAAATTATTCTTTAAAAAATCCGTCCCAATTTGTCTATGAAAAAATTATTCTTTAAAAAATCCACGCCTTATTGGTCCTTGAAAAAATTATTCTTTAAAAAATCCACGCCTTATTGGTCCTTGAAAAAATTATTCTTTAAAAAATCCACGCCTAATGGTCATTGAAAAAAATATTCTTTAAAAAATCCACGCCTTATTGGTCCTTGAAAAAATTATTCTTTAAAAAATCCACGCCTAATGGTCATTGAAAAAAATATTCTTTAAAAAATCCACGCGTAATGGTCATTGAAATAATTATTCTTTAAAAAATCCACGCCTAATGGTCCTTGAAAAAATTATTCTTTAAAAAATCCACGCCTTATTGGTCCTTGAAAAAATTATTCTTTAAAAAATCCACGCCGTATTGGTCCTTGAAAAAATTATTCTTTAAAAAATCCACGCCTAATGGTCATTGAAAAAATTATTCTTTAAAAAATCCACGCCTAATGGTCATTGAAAAAATTATTCTTTAAAAAATCCACGCCTAATGGTCATTGAAAAAATTATTCTTTAAAAAATCCACGCCTAATGGTCATTGAAAAAATTATTCTTTAAAAAATCCACGCCTAATGGTCATTGAAAAAATTATTCTTTAAAAAATCCACGCCTAATGGTCATTGAAAAAATTATTCTTTAAAAAATCCACGCCTAATGGTTATTGAAAAAATTATTCTTTAAAAAATCCACGCCTAATGGTCATTGAAAAAATTATTCTTTAAAAAATCCACGCCTAATGGTCATTGAAAAAATTATTCTTTAAAAAATCCACGCCTAATGGTCATTGAAAAAATTATTCTTTAAAAAATCCACGCCTAATGGTCATTGAAAAAATTATTCTTTAAAAAATCCACGCCTAATGGTCATTGAAAAAATTATTCTTTAAAAAAAAATTAAAAAAATTCACGCCTAATGGTCATTGAAAAAATTATTCTTTAAAAAATCCACGCCTAATGGTCATTGAAAAAATTATTCTTTAAAAAAATCACGCCTATTTGGCCCTTGAAAAAAGATTTCTTTAAAAATCCATCACTATAGCTGTGATGTTGGAGTCAAAAATTATATATTTTTTTACATTATGTCAAAATTCTAATAGAATGCCTCATATCAATTTCAGTTCCGCCCAACAAAATTACATTTCTAATTATATATTAAAATATATGTTTACCGAAAAAAAAACTTTACAATTACCACAACCAAATTGAATGGCATAAAATCTGTGTCACTGACCCTCTTCAATTCAAACTGTATTTCCTTTATGTTGGCTCAATATAAAATTATAATTCTGGTATTTGTTTTAAAACCCAAGAGACAACTATGGTTGTTGAGATTATGAATGCATAACCGAAACACACAAAAAAAAACTGCATTAAAAATTCGCAAAGTTGTGGGCCAACACACAAAAAAGCTTCTGCAGTGGCATTGTAAGTTATTCACTAACATCCACAACAACAACAACAATCACCGGTCCAATGGCTAAAATTCGATTTTTAATTTCAGATATCAACTAAAGCTAAGACAACACGGTCCGACGGTTGGTTGGTTGTCTAGCCTATAGAGAAAAAAAAACGAATTAAACCTAAAGCCAAGTGATTTGTAGTTTGACAGTTATTAAAGTTTTTCAATTTTTTGAAATGTTCCTCAGAAAATTTAATTTTATAATAATTTTAATTTTAATAAATAAAATTCTATATTCAAAGACAGCAGAGGAGGAGTCTTGGCAGCAGACATATGTTAGAAAATTATGTGAGTGTGTGTGTTAAAAATTAAATAATATTTTTTATAATTGATATAAATCAATTAATTACAAATTAATTTAACATAAATTATTATAAAAATTATTTATTACTTCACATATGCAACTGTCATCTTCATTCTCTGTTAACTAGAACAGGTTTGCGTCTTAAGTCTTTCGTTTTATTTATTACACACAGCAATCTACTTAAATAATTTTGTGAGTGTGTGTTTTTTCTGTTTCATTCAACTAGTTTAAATAAAAATATAATTAGTATTCACCTGTTAAAAAAGTAGCTGTATTTATTTTATTTTTTGTGATTTAAAAAAACTAGTCCATTCGGTAATTGAGAGCTCCAGTTGGTTGGTCATTGCTGGTGATCCATATCTTTTGAGTTTATTTGTTGAGTGCGGCGCTGCATTGTGATAATAATTCTGGTTTGTTAACAACAATTGTAGGAAACAATTAGTTATTATTGTGACATGGCATACAAATGGATTGAAAACGTATTAGATATTAGAGTGCACCAACTTACAAGGGGACTAAATTAAAACAATTTTTTGAGGATTTTTTAAAGAATATATGTTACAAACAGAACAATAGGCGTGGGTTTTTTAAAGAATAATTTTGTTAAGGACCAATAAGGCGTGGATTTTTCAAAGAATAATTTTTTCAAGGACCAGCAAGGCGTGGATTTTTCAAAGAATAATTTTTTCAAGGACCAGCAAGGCGTGGATTTTTCAAAGAATAATTTTTTCAAGGACCAGCAAGGCGTGGATTTTTCAAAGAATAATTTTTTCAAGGACCAGCAAGGCGTGGATTTTTTTAAAGTATAATTTTTTAAGGGCCAGCAAGGCGTGGATTTTTTTAAAGTATAATTTTTTAAGGACCAGTAAGGCGTAGATTTTTTAAAGAATATTTTTTTCAAGGACCAGCAAGGCGTGGATTTTTTAAAGAATAATTTTTTTAAGGACCAGTAAGGCGTGGATTTTATAAAGAATATTTTTTTAAGGACCAGCAAGGCGTGGATTTTTCAAAGATTAATTTTTTCAAGGACCAATAAGGCGAGGATTTTTTAAAGATTCATTTTTTCAAGGACCAATAAGGCGAGGATTTTTTAAAGATTCATTTTTTCAAGGACCAATAAGGCGAGGATTTTTTAAAGATTCATTTTTTCAAGGACCAATTAGGCGTAGACTTTTTAAAGATAAATTTTGCAAGGACCAATTAGGCGTAGACTTTTTAAAGATTAATTTTTTCAAGGACCAATTTTTTAAAGAAGTCAATTTTAAGGACCTATACAAGGCAAAGATTTTCAAAAAAGACATTTTAAGGACCTATACAAGGCAAATATTTTTTAAGAACACATTTTAAGGACCTATACAAGGCAAAGATTTCTATAGATGACATTTTAAGGATCTATACAAGGCCAGGATTTTTAAAGAAGACATTTTTAAGGACCTATAAAAGGCAAAGATTTTTAAAGAAGACATTTTTAAAGACCTATACAAGAACATGAATCGGAAAATCTTTATGTATTTTTTTTTTAAATCTAGGCATTTAAAAATAAATATATATTTGATGTTAATATTTTTCTTTGGTTTTCCTTTTCCAGCCGATGGCATTCCTTCCTGCCCCGAGGACAACAGTATCGATGATTGCATTCGAAATGCCTTCAATTACATGATACACACCAGCATCAAGGGAGTACCCGATTTGAATATACCACCCATTGATCCGATGCGTATTAATAAATTAAATGTACAATTTTCAAATAATTTGATACGAGGCAAGGCTGCGATACGTAATATAACTGTGGAAGGGATTTCCAAATCCGAATTTAAGAGGGTGCATTATGAACGCAAAGGGAAAGATGTCAAACTGAATATACACTTTCAATTGCCATTACTGAAACTGACTGGGAAATATCGCGCAGAGGTGGTGATAAATAATGCCCGATTTTCTTCGAAGGGGTTGTTTAATATTTCGTTGAGTATGTAAAAAAAACATTATGAAAATAGGAAACAAATTTATTTTTTTGTTTTTTCTTCGTTCCAGTTGACATTGACTCCAAATCGGAACATTTTGCCCAGCTGTATGAACGTGATGGTCACACCTTTATGACCCTGAACAGTGTCGATGTGGAGCCCACATTGGGTGATATGAAAATTTATGCCACTGGTTTGGTGCCAGATCCGGCTTTGAGTAAATTTTCTCCTTTTTTATATTATATTATGTTTAGTATTTAATTTAAATATTTTTTTAATTAATTTGCAGATGCTGCCCTCTTGGAAATTGTGAATAGCCAATGGCGTATTATTTACCGATCTGCCGTAGTTTCGACCCGTTCCACCTGGCTGCCGATTCTACTGAATTACACCAATAACTTTTTCTCGCATTTACCATTTGATTTGTTGGTAACAAATCATAAGGAATAGTTTAGTTAGGAATTAGTTTTTAAGAAGCACATCATGTTTAAACATGTTTATACATTTTGTATTATTATATAATAGATCTAAGATGGAATTTTGATAACAAAATATCAAATTATTGTTAGGAAAGAAATAAATATTTTATTATTCTCCAAAATAAAAATATTTTCTAAACAAGTCACGGTTAACGTCACTGGAAGTCCTTGAGAAAATATTTTTAAGAAATCCACGCCTATGGCTCTTAAAATCCTCTGACAAAATATTTTTAAGAAATCCAGAAATCAATTTTTAAAAAAATTGAAATTAATCTTTAAAAAAATCCACGCCTATTGACCACCTAGTCCTTTGAAATTAGTCTTTAAAAAAATCCACGCCTATTGACCACCTAGTCATTTGAAATTAATCTTAAAAAATCCACGCCTATTGACCACCTAGTCCTTTGAAATTAGTCTTTAAAAAATCCACGCCTATTGACCACCTAGTCCTTTGAAATAAGTTTTAAACAAAATCCACGCCTATTGATCACCTAGTCCTTTGAAATTAGTCTTTAAAAAAATCCACGCCTATTGACCACCTAGTCCTTTGAAGTTAGTCTTTAAAAAAAATCCACGCCTATTGATCACCTAGTCCTTTGAAATTAGTCTTTAAAAAATCCACGCCTATTGACCACCTAGTCCTTTGAAATAAGTTTTAAACAAAATCCACGCCTATTGACCACCTAGTCCTTTAAAATTAGTCTTTAAAAAAATCCACGCCTATTGACCACCTAGTCCTTTGAAGTTAGTCTTTAAAAAAAATCCACGCCTATTGATCACCTAGTCCTTTGAAATTAGTCTTTAAAAAATCCACGTCTTGTATTAGGCCTTGAAAAATATTCTTAAAAAAATCCACGCCTATGGTAGCCTTAAAAAAGTCATTCTTTAAACCAGTGAGCAGAGTAGTATAGTCGAACGGGGCCGACCATACGATACCCTACACAACTACCACAGAAATCTAACTTTCTACAATTTTTTTTCTGAGCCTGGGTAATATTTCGTGATAGTTCCAACCTCTTGCCCGAGTAGAGGTCAAATGCACCACTTCCTTACACTGACTTATTTTCAGAATATTACTAATATTCAGTACAGTCCTTCTAATTACTTGTCCATCGTGGGTTGTGTTGTGATGTTCGGCTTATAATTGTGGCATATGGACCGACTCAAAAAAAAAAGAACACACACACACACACAAAAATAAATTTTTGATAACCATGGCCATAACTGGAACCTCATGGAACATTTTAAAGCGATCAGATGGGTTACTAAATAATATATAAATTCGTAAGTACCTGTACATCCGATTACATACGACAATATAATTGGTATCAATTTAAAGGTCAACCACTCCTCTTTGATATATTATCAACTTCTCGGGTCTATGTCCTTCAGGATTAAAGTTTCATACAAAAGTCAGGGTCCATTTGACCCGCTAAATATTGACCGATCTTTATCAAAACAGGCATGCTTATTAAAATATTTTTAAAAATCCACGCCCAGAACTCAGATGGTCCTTAAAAAAAATATTTGTAAAAATCCATTCCTAGAGCTCAGATGGTCCCTAATGAAAATATTTTTAAAAATCCAGATGGTCCTTAATAAAAATATTTGTAAAAATCCACCCATGGAGCTCAGAGGGTCCTTAATAAAAATATTTTTAAAAATCCACGCCTAGAGCTCAGATGGTCCTTAATAAAAATATTTTTAAAAATCCACGCCTAGAGCTCAGATGGTCCTTAATAAAAATATTTTTAAAAATCCACGCCAAGAGCTCAGATGGTCGTTAATAAAAATATTTTTAAAAATCCACGCCTAGAGCTCAGATGGTCCTTAATAAAAATATTTTTAAAAATCCACGCCTAGAGCTCAAATGGTCCTTAATAAAAATGTTTTTAAAAATCCACGCCTAGAGCTCAGATGGTCCTTAATAAAAATATTTTTAAAAATCCACGCCTAGAGCTCAGATGGTCCTTAATAAAAATATTTTTAAAAATCCACGCCTAGAGCTCAGATGGTCCTTAATAAAAATATTTTTAAAAATCCACGTCTAGAGCTCAGGTGGTCTTTAATTAAAATATTCTTAAAAATCCACGCCCAGAACTCAGATGGTCCTTTATAGAAATATTTTTAAAAATCCACGCCTAGAGCTCTGATTGTCCTTAATAAAAATATTGTTAAAAATCCACGCCTAGAGCTCAGATGGTCCTTAATTAAAATATTCAACAAAAAACACGCCTAAAGCTCAGATGGCATTTAATAAAAATATATGTAAAAATCCACGCCTAGAGGTCAGATGGTCCTTAATAAAAATATTTTTAAAAATCCACGCCTAGAGCTCAGACGGTCCTTAATAAAAATATTTTTAAAAATCCACGCCTAGAGCTCAGACGGTCCTTAATAAAAATATTCTTTTAAAAATCCACGCCTAGAGATTAGATGGCCCTTAATAAAAAATCCACGCCTATAGGTCCTGCAAAAAAAATATTCTTTTAAAAATCCACGCCATTGGTCCTGAAAAATATATTATTTTGAAAATACCCGCATATTGGTCCTGAAAAAATATTCTTTAAAAAATCCACGCCTTGTATTAGGAATTGAAAAAATATTCTATAAAAAATTCCGATTCCAACCCAAAATATTTCTATAAAGTCCTTGAAAAAATATTCTTTAAAAAATCCACGCCTTGGATTAGACCTTGAAAAAATATTCTTTAAAAAATCCACGCCGAAATCCATTTGGTTTTTTCCGATTCCAACCCAAAATATTTATTATCTAAGTATCCAAAGTTCTGCTATACTCATGACTTATAAAAATTGTCAACACAAAAAATCCGAAATAATTAAAAATTGTCTTCGCTTCAAATCGACATTTGACATTGGCCAATAGTTTGGAGTCCAAAACAACCACAATTCAAGTTATTAGACATTGAACTCTAATTCATAAATTTTTTTGAGAACAAAATTTCAACAACTTCAACTAGCTCAGCATATCACAAAAACTAAACAAGAATTCTGAAACTCAAAAAAAAAAAAACATTTTGAAACAACTTTGCAAGTCATATGCAGCAGTGGCAATTCAAGACTTGGATTAAATGAAATTATCAAATCAACATTGACCCTGCAACAATTCTAATTGTTGCAAAATGCAGAATTTAGTTTTAAATTAACTCTTGTTGTTGTTGTAATGTAATAATCGTTCGAAGAACAAGTTTGCAACAGCTATGGCTACCACAAAAATTTAGAACAAGAATTACAAAATACAATTTGGCCTCAGTTTTAAAAAGAACGTTGCAATAGACGGTCAATAGAAAAATTGGAAACGGTCACCAAGTCAAGTCGATATCGGAATTTTTAAAAATAAAAATAACTGCTTTAGGAATATGGTATCCTTGAAAAATATTTTCGTTGCATTCATATTAAATGTGGCAATATGTTGGGCCCAGGATATTCCAGCAGCTGGGGTTACACCAAATATACCCGCAGAGATATCATCGACAATTGCTACAGCATCATCAACACCTGTTATACCTGATTCAACCACTAATGCTGCACCTGTGATTAGTTCTCCAGTACCAATTAATAATGATCCAAATTTGTTCGCTGAATTATCTTCAACACCAGATAATTTAAATAATATTGAAAGTACATCGACCACCACCACATCACCATGGGAGCTAATATATCCTGACCCCAATTCGACAACAACCACCACAGCGGATAATAATTCACAGTTGCTAAATTTTCAAACACCTATTTCACCACAAAATGTATACAGCAGTGCAGGTGTTTCGAAATATTTTAAAGGTAAGTTCAACAGAATATTTTTTCTCGTTGGCCATGAATGGTAAAAATAAAAAAAAATGAAATAAATAAAATAAAACCAGTAAGGAAAGTCGGACTGGGCCGACTATATGATACCCTTTACCACTTTGGGTATATAGTACATCAGTAGCCTTATAATTGTATGTCACCGTTCCCTCGAAGGAACATACTCATATCTTTCTGCAACATATGCTAAATTCATTCGAGTAGATTTAGAGTCGTCTGTGTACCTTGGGACAAATTTATGGAAAACGATTTATAGCAAAATTGATACACGCTATTTGTTACGCCGCCCTGTTAAAACTGTAATGTCAATCTGACACCCGTTCGAAATACATATGGAATCGATGGCAGCATCTGCGCCAATTTCAACAAAACCCAATAACGTCATTCAAGTCTCAATTTGATACCTTGTGCAAAATTTCGTGTTAATCGGACAAACATTAGGAGTTTGGTGCAGCATTTATGTAAAATCGGACGAAAATATATATGGGAGCTATATCTATATCTGAACGGATCTTCACAAAACTTAGCAGACATTATTCTAGACTCAATTCACTACGCTATGCCAAATTTCGTGCAAATTGAAAAATATATTCGGACTTTGGTGCACCATTTACATTAAATCGGAGGAAATATATATAGGGCTATATCTAAATCTGAACCGATTTTCACATCATTTCGATTTTCACGAACATAGCACACATCATTCTAGGCTCAATTCAGTACGTTATGTCAAATTCCGTGCAAATCGCCGAATATTCAGGGTCTTTGGGGCACCATTTACATTAAGTCGAAAGATAAATGGGGACTTTGGTGCACCATTTACATCAAATCGGACGAAACTTAACACACATCATTCTAGACTTATTTCAGTACACTGTGCAAAATTCCGTGCAAATCGAAGGATATATAAGGACTTTGGTGCACAATTTCCCTAAAATCGGACGAAAATATATATGGGAGCTATATCTAAATTTGAACCGATTTTCCCGAAACTTACGAGTCATCATTCTAGACACAATTCAGTACGCTTTGCCAAATTTCGTGCAAATCGAAGGATATATAGGGTCTTTGGTTGACTATTTCCCTAAAATCGGACGAAAATATATATGGGAGCTATATCGAAATCTGAAACGATTTTCACGAAAC